TATTGGGAGGTGGTGGAGCCTTTAAGAGGTGGAACCTAGTGTACCAGGGTCTCCAGGTTAGGGGGGTGTTCCTTGAAGGGGATAGTGGGACCTCAACCCCTCCCTCTTTGTTTCACTTCCTTTCTACCAGGTGAGTGGTTTATTCCACTGTGCACTCCCCATCTTGTGCTGCCCTGCCACAGGCCCCAAAGAAATGGCCATGTAATCAAAGACTGAGACCCCTAAAGCGATGATCCAAAATAAACCTTTCCTCTTTATAAGTTGATTATCTCAGGTATTCTTTAAAGCAATGAGAAACTGACTAACACATGTACTTATGGTACATTTTGCCCTTTATTCATTCATTCATTCATTCATTCATTCATTCTTTCTTTCTCTTTTTGTGGTGCTGGGGATTGAACCCAGGGCCTTGTGCTCGCAAGGCAAACACTCTACCAATTGAGCTATATCCCCAGCCTCCATTTTGCCCTTTACTATTGAATTTTACACTAGTTTGATTCCAATGTGGCACTAGAAAACATATGATTGGAGCAGGACCACTTATGTGGAAGTGATAGAAAATCCTCAGCATCTCTGGGAAACACATCTAGAGTTGAATCAGTTAATAAGACTCAGTCTTGTCTTAGTGCTGCTGGGGCTGACCCTGTGTAATGAATATGCATCGGCTCTGCACCTGCATGTGTTTACATGTGGATGACTTTGGTTCTCCTTTCAGCCCCGTGCCAGAAAAAGCAAGTATTATTGACATCGTACCTAGGAAAAGACTGAGGAACTCAAGAGCTGAAGGGACTTGTTCCAGATGATAGCTAGTGGGAGAGTTTCATTAATATCGAGAGGGACAAAGAGACATCAATTCAAGAATTCTTCTTCTCATTTGCTCCATGCCATGGACTCCTTTGGTGGAATGCTGAAATGTATGGACCCCTCCTCTCAGAAAAATGCTTTTAAATGCATTCAACACAATACATAGGGTTATGAAGGAGATAAGTTATATTGAGGTACAATTACTGAAATCTTAACAAAATTTGGAACATACACATTTTTTATTAATACATTAAATATAACCTTGTCCAATGACTACAATACTTTTGAAGTTGTGATACATGTAAATGATGTCTGATTCAACTGCAATATGCTGTAAAATGCCTATGATTCTTTTGCTGAAGAAGTCACAGGCTCTGCTAAAATTACTGTGGTCTGCTTCCTATAGTCAGAGTACCAAGAAATGCTAAATTTCAATTAGAGGTGATTGAAAATAAGCAAAATGTTTTCCTATCCAAATTCATGACCGTCCTTCCTGAATTTTATCCGAGATCCCTATGGGTCTGGAGAACATAAGTTAAGAACACTTTATGGAGTCCAGTCCCTTGTAAAACAGATGGGAAAATGAGAGCTAGAGAGGAATGGGATTGGCTTAGACCCCTCAGCTATGTAATAGTGGGATTGAGCTAGAACCCAGGGGCTGGCAATACCTTCCCTGCAGGGATAGATGAAGAATGAATATGATCCTACGTGTAGATGCAGTGACACAGTAGCCATGACAGAAAATAGGACCATGTGACACGGCAGAAGCAAAGAGATGAGAGGTGCTAGAGTCTCCACGGAATGGGAAGGCCCAGCTGAAAGTGCCTTCTGCCTGGACCCTTTCCTCTTCTTCCTGGAGGAGGGACATCATGGCCACATTCTGAAGAAAGTACAGGCACATACTAGAAGGGACATAGGCCCTTCCTGACAAGATGGATTAACCATTGCTATGGTTTGAATGTGGTGAAAACTGTCTCCAAACTCATATGTTAATAGCATTTGGAGGGATGAGGCCTTGGGGAGGTAATTAGGATTAGATGAGGTCATGAAGCCGGGTGGGGTCGGGTGGGGACCTATGATGGCATTAATTGAACTAGCACATTGAACAACACTCTTGCCCGGTCCTGCCATGTGATGCCCTCTGCCATGTTATATGCAGCATCAAGGCCTCACCAGATGTTGAACAGGTGCTGCTGTCAGTTCTTAGGCTTCTCAGCCTCCAGAGCCGTAAGCCAAGTAAACTTCTATTCATAAATTACCCAATCTCAGGTACTTTATTCTAGTAACATAAAACAAACCAACACAGTCTATCCTGGACTGCCTGCCTTTAGAATTCCCATGTGTGAGCGAGAAAAACTCTCCTGACTTGTTCTCTGCACGGTGACTTGTGTTCTGTTCTGTGCAGCCAAACTCACTCCCTGACAGACAGCTCTTCCTAGCTGCGTGACCTCCCCTCTCTGAGCCATGGGTTCCTCATCTGTAAGAGCTCTGTTAAAGATTTTCTTGTGAAGATTAGAGGATACTGAAGACTTTTACTGCCTGGCACAGTAAAAGGCAGACGTTATTAATAAATAATATTATTTATTACTAATTTGCTGAATTGTAGTTCAGTGCTTTCCCTACCATATTGACTATAGCTTGAAACACCATAGACAGACTCGCAGTCCCATCAGCACCCGCCCTGACCCCAAGCTCAGCCCCTCTCACTTCAGCTCTGGCTTGCAGGCCTCAAATTCAGCCTTGACAAAGTGCTGGTCATGTCCCACAGGAAAAAAAAAAAAACAGTTTATGAAATACTGACAGAGGCCAAACACCTAATAATTAGTGGCTAGCAACCACAGACATGGAGGCAATTAGGAGGTTTGTAAAAATTCAGGGGACTAACGCAACTCCTCATTTATTCCTCAAATTTCTTGCATGAGCTCCAAAGATATTATTTGTGTCAGGAGTGCAGACTTTACAGGAAGAATGTGGGATAAGAAGTGACAAAGAGGCTGTGGGGGGCTGTGAAGAACCTTCGAACACCAAACCCCTTCCTGTTCCAGTGGCCACTCTGCTGGGCCTTCTACCATCAGAGCAGGATTCATATGGGTCATGTAGGGCGTCCAGAAGGCCATAGGCCTTAGTAGGGGGTCAAAGGACGTGCTGGTCAGCTTTTTGTTACTTCAACAAAACACTGGATATAATTAACTTAAAAAGAGGAAAGGTGTATTATGGCTCATAGTTTAGGAGTTTCAGTCAGTTGTTGGCCTCCTTGCTTTGGGCCTGTGGCAAGGCAAGACATCATGGCATCAACTCACAGTGAAGGCAAGTGCTCACTGCATGGCATCAGGAAGGACAGAGAGAGAGAGAGAGAGAGAGAGAGAGAGAACCAATATGGGGCAGGGGTCCTAATGTCCCCTTCAAGGGTATGCCCCAATAACCTAACTTCCTTCCACAAGGCCCCACCTACTAAAGGTTCCAGGAGCTGTGAACAGTCCTTTAGCGTATGGGGGACACTTATCTAATCCAGAGTGAAGGGTAAAGATGGCATGAGTTTTCCAAAGACACACCTGGCCTACAGTCATGTTCAAGGCTGATGCTGTTTCTCTACCTGGCCCTTTTCTTTCCTCGACACCACATCCTTTAGCATTGACCATTTTGGGACCATGTTAGGATGCTAATGTTGCCAAAGGATGCTTTCATGGACAGGGGCCCTAGAAAAGTGGCACACAGCTCTCTATACTCAGGCCTGCTTGGGTCAATTTGACATCCCTGTAATTAAAATCCTTTTATCATCCTCCTTTTTTTATTAAAATAATACCATTTTTAAAATTCAAGAACACAGTTATCTTGGAGCCCTAGTACGGTATCAATAGGCATGGAACCAGTTAACAGGACTCGATGGGAATGAGACCAATAGACTTTTCCACTAATTGAGGCCAGCGATGTCTTAGCATCTCTTACAGATCCTCTGTCTCCCCGCACCCCAACCCAGGTATCTTAATCCAATTGTTGACATTAAGATTGGGGGGCTCTCAAGGACATCTGGTACATTTGGAAGACACTTGGAACATTCTCAAATTTTTATTTTCTTATCTGAGGCTTTTCTAAGGGCTAAATCACTGAGTATTGCTTTTGTCATTTCAGCCCTTTAGATCTTTAGACCTCAGATTTGGAAATGGACTTCTCAGTAATCAGGGCTTCTGGAATATAATGAGAAGAAACCTGAGTACTTCAGGTCATCTCTTTTTGGGAGGATAACTAGGACCAGCAGTGTGAGCAGAACTCATGAAGGCTAATTTCTAGACATTTCCTTTATCCTGGAAGATGAGGTGAGATTTGGGAGACTGTGGAATTGACTGGGCATGCTCATTCCTGTCTGTCCCTTCCCCTCTCAGGCCTTCTGTGATGGAGGCACATCTAAGTCCCCAGTTACCCTCAGGGTCAGCACAAAAGGTCTCGGACCAGAAGCTTCTCCTGTCTCCTCAGTTTTAATATCCAAACTGCAGGCCTCCCTGACTATGCCTGTTTCTCCACTGTAGTAACAAAGTGTCAGGGCTGGGGGTGGATGGGGACAGGACAATCTAAGCCTTAGCCAAAACTTTGCCCACAGTCTATAATTTCTAAAGATTTGATGGCTGAATCTCCTTCCAGTTCTCCAAAAGTAACATCATGTACTATTTCCCAAACATCAGTAATTACTGTATCTACAGCATGCCGGTTGCCATTTCTGCAGTCTTCTATTATTTCAATTTTAAAATAATCTCATCACTTTTTCACTCAATAAAATTTTAAGAGGGAAATTTTATGTCATCTGCACCATTGAAATACTGGTGGCACTCGCTCTAAAGCGACGTTTTTTTTCAGCAAAAGTAAATAAAAAGGAAACAAAACCATTTTTAAATTTGAACTCAGAGACCTTGAACTCTGAGGTCACCTGTCTAAATTTTTGAGGCTGAGATTTGGTTATCTATTTATTTAAAAGAAAAAGAAAGAAAGCTAGAAGGAGAGAAGAGCAAGAGTTGGAGGGGTGTTTAGGTATCTATGAGCTGCAGGCTGCAGGTCCTTGGGCCCTCCTGGTTCTTCTTCTTTTCTCACTTGTAGTTCTCAAGAACAACTTCAGAGTGTTCTGGTAACACAGCATCCCGAGATAAGGAGGAACTGGCTAGAACATCCTGGACTCTGTTCCAGTCCTTCCTAGAAACAGGATGTTCTTCAACACTGTAGCGCAGTTTGTCATGTGCCCCCTGCCCCCAGGTATAGCACTCAGGGTGGGCTGCTTTGGAAGGATCTCTCTGCTGCGTGCAAGTGGAGCATGCAGTTGGGTCTCCTGCCCTGGCAGTTTCCTGAACCGGAGCTCCTTGTGAATCCTAGACTTCTGTGTCCTTTGTTGCCTACCCGTAAGTAGCAAATCCACTTTCTGTAACTCGGTGCATATGTGAGTGTTCTGTTGGAGCAAGGAATCAGTACAGGGTGACCCTGCATGAATGTGGGAAGTAGGGTGCTCTTATAGCTTGATTATGAGGTATCCCCTGAAAACTCACGTGTGAGACAATGCAAAAATGATCAGAGTTGAAACGATTAGATTAAAAGAGATGCAAACTAATAAGTACTAGTCCAGTGATAAGGACTGTGTGGTACTGGAAGCAGGTAGGGTGTGGCTGGAGGAAGTGGGTCACTGGGGGTATGTCTTTGGTGTTTATATTTTGTCCCTGGGGAGCAGAGCTCTCTCTTTCCCAAGGCCATGTCCTGAACTGCTTTCCTCTGCCATGATATCCTGCCTCACCTTGGGCCCAGATGGAGTCAGCCATCTATAGATTGAGACCTCTGAAATCATGAGCCCCAAATAAATTTTTCTTCCTCTATAATTGTTCCTGTCAAGTCTTTTGGTCATAGCAATGAAAAAAAAAAAAACTAAAACAGGTTCTGAGGGGGAAGTGAGGACAGATTAACTTGAAAACTGTTTGTAATAGTAAAATACACGACATCATATTTGCCCTTAGTTATATCTAGCACATTTATGATATTGTGCAATCATCACCATTTTCAAATTCCAGAACATTCCATCACCTCCAAAGGAAACCCTGTACTTTTAAACAGTCACTTCCCATTCCTCTCTAGTTCTGGCAGTCACTAATCTTTCTGTCTCTATGAATTTGCTCTGGACATGTCATATAAATGAGATCTTTCACAGTTTAAGTTTGCCTTTGTTCAAGATTCAACTATGTTGTGGCATGTATCAGTATTTTATTATGCTTTATGGCTGAACAATATTCCATTTATGGATGTACTGGATTTTGTTTAACTGTTTGTAGACTGACAGTCATTTTGAGTTGTTTCTACCTTTTAGGTCTTGGGAACACTGTGGCTATGAACCTTTGCATGCCAATTATTATTATCCCAAGCCGTAACAGGCCCCTAGTTTCCACAATCATGCCCATGTACTGATTCCTAGATTGGACAGAACACTCTCATATGCACTGAGTTATAGGGAGTGAGTTTATTATTTACAGGTAGGCAATAAAGGACACAGAAGTCCAGGATTCACAAGGAGCTAAGGCTCAGAAAACTGCCAGGGCAGGAGACCCAATTATTGTTTGAGTACATGTTTTCAGTTCGTTTCAGTATATACCTAGGACTGGGATTGTTGGGTGCAATGGTTATTATGAGTTTATATTATCAAGGAACTGCCAAAATTTTCCACAGTGGCTGCACCATTTTGCATACCCACTAGCAGTGCATAAGGGTTTCAATTTCTTTGTATCATTGCCACACTTGATTTTATTTTTAAAAATTTTAACTATCCCCATGAGGAGGAGAAACTAACTTCTAACTCCTCTGATCTGCTCTCCACCTAGAAAACAAATGGATGTTCCTAAATTGTCCATATGTTCACATTTCCCACCTTTTTAATCCCAAGTTTTTAGGATAAAGACAAAAATACATCTATCTGCTTTTGCTGTGTATACAGGGCAGAAAGTGAGTGAGGGCTCAGAAGTTGTTTCCACCTAGAATTGTCATCTCCCTTCTCTGTTGAGTCCTCCCAATGAAAAACCATTACAATTTCTCCTTTCTCTGTTTCTTAGCTCAAAAGCTTAGCTCTCTGTATTTCTTAGTCTCAAATACAGGATTATCTCCTGATTTGTGAGTGTGTGTGTGTGTGTGTGTGTGTGTGTGTGTGTGTGTGTCTGCTAGGGATTAAACCCAGGGCCTTATGCATGCTAAGCACACTCTGTACCAATGAGTTACATCTCTAGCCCCTGGGTTTGCATTCTTTTTAAATTAAAAAGTTATTTATAGGGAAATAATAAAGCAGAACCATAAAATAATAATAATTATAATAATGTTATACTTTATCAAAATTAAATATGCCTACATTTCAAAAACACTATTAAGGAAATAAAAAAAAACTAGGCAAAACTGGGAGAAAGTATTTTCAGAACACATATGTGTTAAAAAAATTGCACTTAATATAAAAAGCTCTTATAGCTAAATAAGAAAGTGGAAATATCCAATAAAAATGAGCAAAAGACTTGCCAGGTATGGGAGAATGTGACTATAATCCCAGTAACTCAAAAGGCTGAGGCAGGAGGACTGCAAGTTTGAGGCCATCCTCAGCAACTCAGGGAAGGCCTGAACAACTTAGCAAGACCCTGTCTCAAAATAAAAAATTAAAAAGGGCTAGGAATGTAGTTCAGTGGTTAAGTGCCCCTGGGTTCAATCCCCAATATCAAAGTAAACAAACAAGCAAAAAGACTTAAACAGGTACATCACCAAAAATGTACAGAGGACAAATAAGCACATAAAAAGTCGTTTGACATTATTAGTCACCTGAAAAATGCAAATTCAAGCCTCAGGAGGGCACCACCAGCCCATTAGAATGATTAAAATTAAAACAAATTAAAGTACCAGGGGTTGGTGAGGGTGCAAAGTGACTAGAAATCTCATGACTTGGTAGGAATGCAAAATGATACAGCAACATTGGAAAACTGGCAGTTTTGAAAAAGTTGAACATAGACTAACCATACAACCCAGCAGTCCTATTCCTAGGTATTAATTCAAGAGACCTTTATGCAAATGAAATACCACTCATCAGCAAAAAGAAATGAATTACTAATATGCACAACCACATAGATGAATCTCAAACACTTGTCAAAACTTAAACACTTAAAAAATGTGAATTATATTTTATTTTACATAGATTTTGTGCTGACATAACTGACTTGAAAACTTATTTGAAACTCAACAATAACAAAAAACAAATAATTTGATTGAAAGATGGACAAAGAAGCTGAGTGTGGTGGTGTATGCCTGTAATTCCAGCAGCTTGGGAGGCTGAGGCAGGAGAATCACAAGTTCAAATCCAGCCTCAGCAAATTAGTAAGGCCCTGTCTCAAAAAAAAAAAAGAAAAAAAGAAAAGAAAGAAAGAAAGAAAAAGAAATATGTATATATATATATATATATATATATATATATATGCATATATGTGCATATATATACATGTATATATATAATGAGCTGAGGTGGGGATATGGCTCAGTAGTTAAATGTCCCAGGGTTCAATCCCTGGTACAAACAAACAAATAAAGAAATCAATAGCAAATCACAAGTACAATGAGATATCACCTCGTACCCATTAGAATGCTTTCTACTAAAAACAACAGAAAATGACTGGTGTTGTCAGCATGTGGAGAAATGGAGAGCAGCACTCTTGGCTGGAATGTGAAATGGTGCAACTGAAGTAGGATGACGAGGCTGGAAACCAAGGAATTGTCAGGAAGCAGGTTTATTAGCTGCAGCGATGGGCTGGTGGGGTGGGGCCGCAATCAATTGCTTTTGCTGAAATCAATCAGTCCCTCTGAACAGCTGCAGCTAATAAACCTGCCAATTCCTCAGTGTCCAGCCTGGTCTGTCTTACTTCATTTTGGTGACCCAAATGGGACCAAGGAGGTAAAGACGGCTTTTCTGCCTCTCTTGTCTCTGGGGTGTGGCTTCCCCTTAGCATGCACAGGTGACTCTTTGCCAGAAGGACGAAGGACTCACCCAGCGCCCTGGAGAACCATGGAACACATGAGGGGCAGGCACCAGGACTAGGGAACTTGGAGCACCGCCCAACTGAACAGGTAGGACCTGGATCCATTAGTGGTAGCCCCCCAACTTCCCCATAGAGGCCTGAGCAGGTGGAAGAGAGGCTTGATCAGCCTCTGTGGGTCCTGAGTACCCTCAAAAGGGGTTGGGAACAGGAAAGAACCTAAGGAATTCCCAAGTAGTCTCTGTTCTGGTCAGCCAGCAGAAGGGAAACTTTGACTCCTGCCGCAGTCTTGGCTGGGCATAGAATCATGAGCCACTAACACCTTGTAGATTCAAACAGCAATTCTTTATTCCCGAACTCACATCGGCCTCTACATATGTTCTGGGGAAATCCAAGTTCTGCCCGCACAATTCACGTCCCAAATTACTTTCTGAATTCCACGAGAACTCAACGGGAACTCAGGCAGCAGGAACGCCCTATTCCCAGCAGCAATAACCTTAAACCTGGAACTGCCCTAAACCCAGATTGTCTTAAACCTGGAACGCCTTAAACCCAAATTATCCTAAACCGGGATACTTCCTAAAACCTGCAGGATACGCCCTAAACCTGGATCCACCCTCGTCCTTAAGCAGGGTCACCTTTCTCAAACACACATGCAATGTCACAGCAAATTTCCAAGGGAAGTCCATTTAACATGGGGTACGCTGGCAAGGAAATTTTGATGCGTCATTCCTACTTGGCAATGGCCCTCAGCAGACTCCCTTTTTTTGGCTTGGAACCTGTGGAATTTGGGGGATTTGGGTGGCGTAGAGATTTTACTCTATGTTGGTGTGAAAGTGTGTCCTGACCCATGATTCCATAGTACCTCATACAGTCAATGGCAGATTCCACCATCCAGGCAGAAGCTCCAGGTCTGGGCTGATACTGACCTGCAAGGCTAAGAGGACCTTAAATCCCACCAAAGGGAACAGCCAGAGATGGAGAAGGGAGTCTTGTCCTAAATGTGTGACACTGATGTAGGATAAGGACATGGGAGGCATACAAAGTAAACTGAACCTCTTGGAATATATGTTGAAAATTTTTAAGAAGGGTTTTAAGGGAGACTATGTGGTGAAACTCATCCCACAAAGGTTGCGTACTCTCTGTGAATTAGAATGGCCCACCCTAGGTGTGGGATGGCCATCAGAAGGATCTTTAGATGAGAGAGTCATTGCCAAGGTCCTTTTAATAGTTGTTGGAACCCCTGGACACCCAGGCCAGTTTTATTATATTGATTGTGGCAAGAGATAGTTCAGAAACAGCCCCCTTGGTTGAGAGCCTGTCTAGATGGACAGTCCAAGCTGCTGTTAGATTGGAGCATAGCAGCCTCTAAGACTCAACAGAAGGCCGCTAAAAAGAGAAAAATCCGACAAAGAAAAGACAGAAAAGGACCAGTTTTGCCCAGTGAGCCAGAAGAGAACTTACCACTTTACGTGGCACTCTACCCAACCTTACGGAAACTGCCCCCTCAGACCCCTCATCCCCAGAGGCAACAGATGATGGTCCTTCAACACCAGCCACTCCTTCCTCCATGATGTCCTCAGAGCCAGAAGTTTCCCCAGAACAAAAAACTCCTCCTCTACCTCTCGATGAAAACTCGTCCTAAGACCAGAGCCACAACCCAGATGAGAGCTCTCCAGATGCCCCTAAGAGAGGCTAGAGGGCCTGCCTATGTTGACCAGGAAATAAATGTTCAAGGGGGACAATGCATTTATATGTATCGGGCTTTCGTCTCCACTGATCTTTGAAATTTCAAAAATCCTATTCCCCCTACATGGAGAAGCCCCAGCCATGATTGATTTGATGCAATCCATTATGCAGACTCACCAGCCTACCTGGGTGGAATGCCGCCAGCTCCTTCTAACTCTGTTCAATACAAAGGAGCACAGACAGACGACCTTAATAGCTTTAAAATGTCTAGAGGAACATGCTCCAGATGCACAAGGCAACATCCAAGCCTATGCCCAGGCCCAGGTCCCTGATACTGACCCAGGGTGGGACCCCAACAAAGAGCAAGACCTCCAAAAGATAAAGAGATATCAAGTGGCCCTCACAGGAGGTCTAGAGAAGGAGGAAGGAAACCCTAAACATGAACAGGATATCAGAAGGGCTCTGCTTCTGTGAACTACTGTGTGAGGCCTTGTGATTCTTCACTCCCTTTGATCCTGAGGCACCAGACAGCCAGTGGATGATCAATGCAGTCTTTGTGGGACAGCCCCAGAGTGACATTTTCAGAAAACTACAAGAACTAGGGGGCTTTGCTGGGAAGAGTGCCAGCGAGCTGATTGAAGTGGCCACCACTGTGTTCATCAGTCGAGACCAAGAGGCCCAGCAAGAAGCAGATCAGAAGATGAAGAAGATGAGTTTCCTTGCAGCTGTCCTTACTGCAAGCCTAGGAGTCACCCAAAGTGGGGGTTCCACCAGAGCAGAGCCAAAGTAAATATCAAAATTGGGGCCAAATGAAAGGCCAGAGGAGGATCTGGTTGGAAGAACCACCTCACCCCAGGACTAAGCTGAGACCAAACCAGTGTACCTTCTGCCATCTAGAGGGCCATTGGAGAGGTGAATGCCCCCAACTGAAGGAAGACAATTGGGCTGCTGCTACTCCTTCCCAGGATAAGAGAGGTGAAGTTGTTCAAGGGCCATACCAGCCCTACAGATGGGTCCCCCATGATACTCAACACCACAAACACCTATCTGATGCCCCTGAGAAATTCTGTGGGACTGGCAGCCATGGAAAATTATGATGAGGATTGGGACCAACTGGGCTCCCTTCCTTTGGGCCCTCAGGAGCCTATAGTCTGAATGTTTACAGGGAGCCAACCTATGGACTTCATGGTGGACACTGGAGCTCACCATTAGGTGGTGACTCAACCTGTGGGCCTACTTTCAAAGAAATAGACCACAATTGTAGAGGCCACAAGCAACAAAGCTCGTCATCCTTTTCTGTTGCCCCAGCATTGCAACTTAGCAGGCCACGAAGTGACCCATGAGTTCCTGTACGTGCCAGATTGCCCAGTGCCATTGATGGGTCGGGACCTGCTGGGAAAACTCTGGGCCCAGATAACTTTTGATGCAAGAGGCCAGGCAGCCTTATCATTGGGAAAACTGAAGCAAGAATTTTAACCCTCACAATTCCCTGTAAAGAGGAGTGGCATCTCTTCAGCCTAGTAGAGGCACCACAGCAGGGACCAGAGCTCCTTTTCCAAGTACCAGAAGTTCAAGCAAAGGACAACCACCTGGCCTAGCTCAAAATATCCCCACAGTGATGGTGGAGTTAAAACTGGGAGCCAAACTGGTACACCTGACACAACGTCATAGTCCTCATAAGGCACAACTTGGAATTCAAAAACTTTCCGACAGACTTTTGCAACATGGGATTCTCAGGTCTTGCCAGTCACCATGGGATGCACCTCTTTTGCCTGTCCAGAAACCAAGAACTGGTGATTACTGGCCAGTCCAAGATTTACGTGCAGTGACTCAAGCCACAGTCACCTTACATCCTATGGTCCTCAATCGGTATACTTTCCTAAGTCTGCTCCCAGCTGAGGCAGCACATTTCTCATGCCTGGATGTGAAATAAGTCTTCTTTTGCATTCAACTAGCACCACACAGTCAGCCACTCTTTGCTTTCTGGTGGGAAGATTCTAATGGGAACAAAGGTCAATTGACCTTAACTGGGCTACCACAGGATTTCAAAAACTCACCAACCATCTCTGGGACAACACTGGCTGTGGTGGGCCATCCATGGGCTGTGTGTGTGTGTGAACTTTGAGCATGAGCACATGAGTGGACTGGACTGATGTTGCCTCTCTGTTTGGGCTGGTGACATATGTGACCTTTTTGCTTGCCTGTGATACCCACACAGCACCTGAGATGGGTGTGGCCTCCCAAGATGTCAGTCAATCTGCTGACCACAAGACATCATGAAGCTAGACTCAACCCCCTGAAACCGGACCCTGCCTCATTGGGGTGGAACTTTCTCAAGTGTCTTCCCCTCAATAAAAAGGGGCTTCAGAATGTTCTCCTCGTCTTTTTTTTCTGCCTCCCTGTGAAAGCAGGAGCAGAGGAGCCCTCACTGAAGAAACCCAAGACCAAAGGTATTTTTTCTGTCTTGGTATGGTTATTTGGTATCAACCCAAATTCACCTGGAATGACCCTGAATGATTTAATCATGTGCTGCAGTAGTTGGACTTAAAAGCCTTTCCTGCAAAACAATGTGGGTGCACATTGCTCTAATATGATCTGTGCTGGCCAGAACAAACAGAGAGGGCAGCTTCTTTCTCACTCTCCTGCTTAAGGCTGGCTACAAAGTTTCAAAGAAGAAAACCCAGATCTGTCAAGAAAAAGTCAAGTACCTTAGTTTCTATCTGACTCAGGGCCAACAGCCATTGGGCCCCGAGAGGAAATTGGTGATCTGCTCAATTCCAGTCCCTTCAACCCACTGTCAGATTAAAGAGTTTTTTTTTTTTTTTGAGAGGCTGCTGGATTCTGCCATATATGGATCCCCAACTTTTCAGTTATGGCAAAACCCCTCTATGAAGCCACAGAGGAGGGAGAACAGGATTCTCTAACACGGGGGCCAACACAGCCAAAAGCCTTTGATGACATTAAACAAGCACTCACCAGTGCACCTGGACTAGGACTCCCTGACCTCACGAAGCCTTTCTTTCTGTATGTCCATGAGTGGTCTGGAATAGCTATAGGAGTCTTAACTCAAATGCTGGCGCATGGCACCTTCCAGAGGCCTACCTGTCCAAACAGCTGGACTCTGTAGCCCAGGGCTGGCTACCTTGTTTATGGGCCCTTGTAGCCATAGCCCTTCTGGTGTTGAAAGCTGATAAACTGGCCATGGGTCAAGAATTGGTTGTCACGGTTCCTCAATGAATTTTGACATTATTAGGCCACAAAAGACAGTACTGGTTGAGTAATGAGAGGATGGTCAAATACTAGGTCATGTTGAGTGAAAATCCACGTATCCATGTTGAAGTCATCCGGACTTTAAACCCAACAACTTTGCTGCCCATTGGACCTGGATGATCTGATCACACTGTGTTGAGGTCATGGATGAAGTGTTCTCCAGCAGATCAGACCTGACAGACCAGCCCCTCGGGGACCCGGATGCAGAGTATTTCACAGATGGAAGCAGTTTCATAAAAGATGGGGTTCTTCTTGCTGGAAATGCAGTGCTCTGACCCGAGCACTTCAGTTGGCAGCAGGAATATGTGTCAATATATACACAGACTCAAAATATGCTTTGCCACCCTTCATGTTCATGGAGACTTATATAAAGAAAAGGGGCTAATTAACTCGGGAGGAAAAGACATAAAATATGAACAGTAAAATCTTAATCTTTTAGATGCAGCATAGGTTCCCAGGAAAGTTGTAGTTACACATTGTGAAGGCCACCAAAGAGGAAACACTGTGGTCACTCAGGGCAACTGGAGAGCTGACAGTGAGGCCAGATTAGCTGCAGGCAAGAAACAGGAAGGAAATCCAGTCCCAGACTTAAATGCTGTTCTTCTGCCTGACCCTCTAACAGAATGGGGGCCAAAATATTCCCAACATGAAAGTAATTGGTTTAAGAGTGAGAAAGGAAGGTATCTCCTGAAAGGATGGTGGAGATTTTCCGATGGCTGCATAGCCATTCCTGAAGGACTAGCCCCTGCTCTTACCAGACAGTTCCACGGGGAACATATATTGTCACTTAGGACTGTTCTGAGTCAGCATCTCTATGTCCCCTAGATCACAAGCATCTCCTGGGTGATCAGTGAACAAAGTGAGGTTTGTGCCTACAACAATTCTGGCCAAGGGAACAGGTTTTCCCCAGGAATCCAAACTATAGGAGAAGCACCCTTTGAGGACTTGGAAGTAGACTTTACTGAACTACCATGCTCACAGGGCTATAAATATCTTTTGGTTTGTATGCTCTTACTCTGGCTGGGTAGAAGGCTTTTCAACCTGCCCTGAAAAGTCTAGGGAGGGAGCCAGGATGCTCCTCTGAGAAATTATTCCCAGATTTGATATCCCGGTAACTATTGACTCAGATAATGAATGGGCCAGCTTTTGTGGCAGAGGTGAAAGAATTTATTGGCCAAGAGTTTAAATATCAGATGGAAATTACATACTGCCTATAGGCCATCGAGTTCTGGTAAAGTTGAAAGGATGAACAGGACTTTAAAGGCTCAATGGGGTAAGCTGTGTCAGGAGACTCATTACATTGGGGTGAACTTCTCCCTATTACACTGTTGAGGATTAGATCCACTTCCACTTAGGAGGACTGGATTCTCTCCTTATGAGGTAATGTACAGAAGGCCTCCCCCACTTATCATGGGAATACAGGGAGACTTAAGAGAAATAGGAGAATTAACCCTGAGATGACAACTTCAGGCCTTAGGGAAGACTTTAGAGGTTTTCAACCAACGGTTAGAGAAAGATTGCCAGTAAGTTTGACCACAGATGCACACTCCTTCAAGCCTGGAGATTCAGTCTGGGTCACAGAATGGACTATGCAGCCCTGAAACTTGTTTTGAAGGGTCCTCTCACTGTTATTTTTTCCACCCCAACTGCAGCAGCAATGTCAGAGATAGGTCCTTGGGTTCATTACATCAGACTCAAGCCTGCAGCTGTGGACTGGGAGTGCTCTCCATACGCTGCTACGCCCATGAAGCTGACCATCCAAATAAGGAAGCACTGGAGAAGCTTGAGGATCAGAAGGACAACAGCCCTGCTCTAGTCACTCCTGAACCTTACTAGCCTCTAGCCTGTGCATGTTTGAAGCTTGAGGAAACTACAGCCCTGCTTCAGCCACTCAGGGGCTGGCTGATCAATGCACAGCATGCACAGTGGAAGATAGACTTATCACCAGGATAAATGGACTCTTTCAGCCTCTAAGATAGTTCTTAGATGCATTGATGCCTCTTACTTCTAGCTGTATATATAGTTCTCTGTTCCTTTTTTTGCTATTGTTTTGATAACAGTAATTCCTACTGACTGGGCTCTTGGTAACAAAACTTCATTTATACTTTTTTTATCTTGCTTGTAGAGGTTTTCTAGGTTCATTTGGTATTATTAATATGGCTTTGTTAACTCACACTGTTTGACCTATGCTAATCAAAATGTTGGTCTATCATTTAGTTTGGTTTCCTTTGATAATCTTAGGGGGCTCTGCCCTACTCCTGCCCCAACAGTGGAGATCATGATTATATCTATTATAATCAAGAGGTGATAGAAAACATTACATTTAGGACCTGTCCCACCAGAGAGATGCTCTAGGTGGATGACTGTCTCTGGAAAGGACAAAGAGTCTGTATAGCTTGGATTGAATCCCAATATAAGGGGGGATATAACTTGCCAGGGAATTTCACTCTTACCAGTGGAATTTGGTATTGCTGGCCACTGGACTTTCAGCCTCTGACATGGGAAAATTTTATAAAAAGTGATCCAAAACCAACTGCCTCAAGACCTACTATAAACCCTTGCCCTGATGCTAAAGTTTATGAGGGGTTGAGTTCAAATCTCAACCTTCTTTCCTTGGGAAAAAAAAAAATCTCTTTCTGGACCTAGCAGAGAGAATTGCTAAAAACCTTGGAGTTCAAAACTATTGGGTCTGTGGAGGGGCCCTCGTGATCGAAGAATGACCCTGGACTTGAATTTGTCTAGATGCTTATTCCCTACTAATGTGAAATAAGACCCACATGGAACTAAAAATTGAAAGGCCCCCAAGGCTGGGTCCTCACCTCAAAAGTATTTGGTAAAGAAGGTCTTGGCAGATTTGGACCCCACAACATCCAATGGGTAGGTAAAACCCCAAGTAATAGAATATTGTTTGGGAATGCTATCTGGTGGCTAGAGAAACCTATGTGGTTTGGGGCAGATAACCCAGGCTGGCTGGGAATTTATGATTTTATATGCAGAGAGCCCTCTAAGAAAAAAAATTATTTTTAACTGTACCAGTTACCAAGAGATCTCCTTGTATGAGGATCTAGGGCCAAGGAAAGAGAGGTCCATTGGGAAAGGACTTGATCTAGGAGGTCACCAATTTTGGGGTGAAGGTGACTGGCCACCCCAGAGGATTATTGCCACTTATGGTCCCACTACCTGGGCACGAGATGGCAGTTGGGGATATAGAAGTCCTATTTACATGCCAAACAGAATTATTGACTTACAAGTTGTACTAGAAATTATTATTAATCAGACTATCACAGCCTTTGACCTCCTAGCCACACAGCAGACCCAGATGCAAGCAGCTATATCTATCAAAACCACTTGGCATTAGATTACCTACTGGCTGAGAAGGGAAGAATATGTGGAAAGTTCAACAGCTCAGACTGTTGCGTCCAAATAGATGACTATGGACAAGCATTAAAGACAGCCAAAAACATAAGAAAATCTGCACACGTGCCAGTTCAAAGCTAGCAGGGCATTAAAGCTTGGGATCCAAACTCCCTATTTGGAGGATGGTGTTTAACTCTTGGTGGATTAAAAAGCTTAAGTGGTATACTGGGTATTCTGCTGTTAACCTGTTGATTGTTCCCCTGTTTGGCTCCACTGTGTATTAAAACCCTTAGATCTACTATAGAAGCAGTTGTTGAAAGAAAGACAACAACTAAGCTTTTGGCATTACATAATGCTTTAAGCCAACAAGATGGTTAATGATGCTCTTTAATTTAAAAGATTAAATTTTGGGAAGCATCCTTAAAGGGAAGAATTGCTGTGGCACATCCTCTTCCAAAGAAAATCACAATTAAGCTTCTCCAGAGACTCTCTGCATAATTGTTCTTAGACCCTCAGCAAGGATCTTTGCAAAAGTTTTCAGGCAGGGGGTCTGTTTGCAGAAGCAGAGTACTTCCAGGGAGACTATCTCAATGTCTTCACAGAGGTGTTTGCATTTCAAAAGACAGTAGTTAGATCCTAGGGAAAGGCTTTACAATCCAATAGATAAGAATAAAAGGTGAATCAGGTCCTTGGAAATCAGCTGGGGGGTGGGGAGGGGGAGGAGAACTATCCCTTTCCCAGGCACTGATTTTCACAGAGAGCATCCTTGGGGTTATTTTTGTAAAACCTGGCCTGAGTTTATTGCCCAGAACAGTAGGGAAAAAAAAAAAAAAAAAGCCCTACTTTTATGTGGACTTCTGCAGATTGTGAGCCTCTGAGCCCCTCCCTCTACACATTGAGTATAAAGTTCTAAAACTTTCTGAACTCGGGGTTCAGAGGGATTGATTGTTTGTGATGAAAGCCCCCCACCCACTGGACTGTTGCAGCTAATAAACCTGCTTCCTGCCAATTCCCTGAAGTCCAGCCTGTCTCTCCTACTTCACAGCCTCAAGGGAAACTGCTGTGGAGGATCCTCCAAAACTTAAAATAGAATTACCATATGATCCAGCAATTTCATTTTTAGGTGTGTATCAGAAAAAATTGACAGCAGGATCTCAAAGAGAGATTTAAATACCCATGCTTATAGCAGAATTATTCGTAGTAGCCAAAAAGTGGAAGTAACCCAACTGTCTATCAACAGAGGAATGGGGAAATAAAATGTGAACTATATACACACAATGGAACATTATTCAGCCTTAAAAAGGAAGAGAAAAGTTTTTTTTTTTTAAAAACCATCTTCACAGAGGCATTTGCATTTCAAAGGACAGTAGTTAGATCCTTGGGAAAATCCTTTACAATCCAATAGATAAGAGTCAACATTGAATTAGGTCCTTGGAAACCAGCTGGGGGGGGGGCGTGGAGAGGGGAACTCTCCTTTTCCCAGGCACTGGGATGGGTATAAAGGCAAATTTTTATGTTATGAGTATCTTATCACAATTAAAAACATATTTGAGTAACCTGGAAAATATCATCTGAGGAAAAAAAAAGCCAAGATTGAGAAAATATATGGAATCAAAATAGAAAGCTTTCTCTGCCCCTCTCTTTCCTGGAGTGTCATTCTTAATTCTGCTGGGAATCATATATATAAATATGCAGCTTTAAAATATATGATACGTAGGGCTAGGTAATCTGCCTTTTCAATAGTGTCCGCCACCTTTGGGAGATTTTCCCATGTCAGTATGTATGGAGTGACGTCATTTTTAAAAAAAACCATTGCATAGTATTTCAAAACATCCATGGCATAATTTAAGCATTTTTCTATTGATTGACAGTTACATCATTTCTGATCTCCCCTGCTATAGACAATACTGCAATAAACATTCTTTCACTTCCTATGTTCTTTTAGGAGCACTTATTTAAATATTTTAAAAAGATTTCCTCTTGACCTTCCAGGACCCAGGCTCCCCTGCCCGTGTTTTTCCTTGCCCTCAGTGGCCGGCCAGCTAGGCTGGGCTCTTACACTCTCTCTTTTCCTTGCCCTCTGCTTTGTCTTTCTAATCCCTTCCACGTGAGGTGGGCTGCCTTGCTTCTACCTCCTCAGCTGACGGATGTCTCCCCTCTGCCTAGAAGCCCCCAATTAGTCAAGCCTTGTCTCATTGCTTACAAAACGTGTCCCATTTCTTAATCTGGAGCTATTTGGATGTTCCCACCAAAATATCCCTAATGGCAGGGAAGAGTGAATGTATAACCTGGGATATCTGGGAAGCACATTGCAAATGGTTACAGGGAGAGGGAAATTTCTTTGAAGTCTCTTTTTGATCTAGAAATTCTTGTATTAAAAAAAAATGTTTTCAATCCTGTCTTGTTTGGTCAAGCTTGGGTTCCAGGTGATGTTCCAGGTTTGACCTATGGCTTGCAGGGTGTCCAGGTAGACAAATGCAATTTGAGTTTTATGTTCCCAACTGGACCTGAAACTCAGGAAAGGGATTCAGAGGGGAACTTGCCTTTCTGGCTCAGAGGAGTTGGTAAATGCAGTGCCTTAGTGGTGGCTGCATTTTCTGTTGCTGAGTTGTCCAACAGAGGGGAAGGGCTATTCTCTCTATGAGAATCAAAGCCTTGTATGGCACTATGTATGTGTGGGGCTCATGCCACGTTGATACCTGCTAAAATGTACATTAGTTTCCTAAAGATGTTCTAACAAATCACTACCAACTTCTTGGCCTAAAGTAACACACATTTGTGTGCCGGAAGCCTGCAATCTGTTTCAATGGGCTAAAGTCAGGATGGCCCCAGCTGTCTCTGGAGCCTTTAGTGGGGGAGTTTCCTTGCCCCTGCTGGACACCCGAGGCTGCTTTCATCCTTTAGCTCTCGACCTTTCCCCACCTTCAAAGCCAGCAGCTTGGCGTCTTCAAAAGTTTCTTTTTGTCCTTCTTGATTCAGTTTTCATCCTGCCATTTCACTCCTTTTGTTCCCTTTTTATAAGGACACTTATGATATCATACCTGCTGGGACAATCCAGGATAATCTCCCTATCTCAAGATGTTGAACTTGATCAAGTCTGCCAAGCCTCTTTTGTCTTACAAGGTAACACCCATAGGTTCTGGGGCATAGAATGTGGACTAATGGGCGGGTGTGTGTGTGTGTTTCTTCAGCCCACCACACACTGCAAAGCCCGAGAAGTGACAGCTCGCCTTGGTTGCTACTTACCAGCAATGACTTACACATTGCTGGGCACATGGTTCAGAGTCCCTAACAGTCAGTCATGAAATATGCAACTTTTTTTTTCTAGAAAAATCCCATATAACATTTTAAAGGAGTCCCGGATTCCTTGAAGTCAACACACAAACCCCTGGTTAAGCATCCTTACTGTAAAATTCCAGAATATTCAGCTGCCGCTGAAATTCCAGCGAGGGACCAGGGAAAACCCGGCTGAGTCGCCCAGGCTGAATTGCAAAGCAACTTCACTTCTTTACAGTCACGTCGCTTAGTCGCTTTGGACAGCAGGTGGCGCCCGCGTCCGCCTCAGCGCCAAGCTGGTCGGATTCGCAGCACCTGCATTTGGGAAAGCGGCATGGAGCGGTCTCGGTCACTGCAGTGTCTACAGAACTGTTTCTCAGTCTCTGCACGTACGGAAAAAGGATGCCCTGTTCAGGGGGCGAGAAGCAGCTCAGGAGGCTTCGCCTTCTTTGCGGTACGCAGCTGGAGACGCCGCAGCACCTGGTGCTGAGCCCGAAGCAGAAACCCGCGCACCTGGGCGCACCCTGCGGCCTCGCCCGGGGCCTGGGAGCAGGGCTCTGGGCAATAGCAGAAAACTCAAAAACCCGAAGGAAATATTTATGAGTTTCCAAAGAGGCAAGATGAAACCTTTCCGATGACTTCCAAGCTATGAAAGCAATTGCGGTTTGGTTTCTGGAAACAGCTCCCCAGGGCCATCTCTGTAGTCCTCAGGGAAGGTTGTGGCTCTTTCCTGGCCCTGGGCACGGGTGTGGATGCCCATCGACTGGGCCAGAGGAGAGGCTGAATTTCTCTGAAGCCATTTTAGGCTCTCTCAAGCGTTAAGGCAGAGGTTAGGTAAAAGTTAAAACCTAGAGACAGCCTATGGGCTTGGGGAGAGAGGAGTACCCTTCCAATTTAGTGTTTGTCAAAGTCAGTCCCAGAAGACAGTAGGTGTTGTAAGCCACCCAGGGATGGGGGATAGATAGGGGGTCGTGAAAACTAGTCCTTTCCCATTGGCATGTGTGTTGGAGTACAATGCTTCTCAAAGTCTGGTTCATGGACCAATTGCAACATTTCCTAAAAATTCAGATTACTGGATCTTCCATCTGCTAAAACAGACGGAAGGGGCTGAGGGTGGTGACAACCTCAATATTTTTAATAAGCTCCCTGAATGATCCTCCTATTCTCTGGGTTTGAGAACCACAGCCCCAGCTCTCAGTAACCCCAAAGTGGCAGTTCAGATAAAATTCCTTCCACACAGCTGCTTGGGAGGCTGAGGCAGGAGGATCGCAAGGTCAAAGTCAGCCTCAGCAACTTAGTGAGGCCCTAAGCAACTTAGACCCTATCTCTAAATAAAAAATAAAAAGTACTGGGGATGTGGCTCCGTGGTTGACCGCCCCGAGTTCAATCCCTGACAAAAAGAAAAAAGTTCGTTCCCAATTGACTCTAGTCCTAGCAGCCAGGGGTGCAAATTAGGCCACCTAAACTGACTAATCAGTATTTCCTGTCTAGTAGTCCTCATCTGTTAAACCTCAGATTCTTTTAAAAAGTCTTCCCCAATTGTTCTGTGAGCCCCTGCGGGTTCCTTTTCTCCCACTACCTCCCTAATAACTGCTTCCTGCAAGTTTCATTAAAAGTAACCATAAGAGTGGCTTCTGCAGCTCTTGTTCCTGGTGAATCTGTGTGTGAGCTTTCTCCTTCCTTCAGGGTTAGCCCCAGCCCTCCCAAAGCCTCAGAGACTCAAGGGCTAGATAGAATTATCTTCCCTTTGGGTCTCACTGTGTTCAAGTCCTGCTTTGTTCCAAGCAGAATCCTCCTGTTTCCAATGCAGGATTAGACTTTGTCACTAAGACCCAGAAGCAGCACTGTATCTACTTCAGTGATTCAAAGTCCTTTGAGGAGGGAGCCTTTCCCAAGATTGTACCCAGTACTTTCTCTGACCCACCAGTTAGCTGGAAACATCTCTCAAAACCGAAAACCAAAAACAATCACAAAAAGCCCTAGGACTCTTGATTTTTCCTGTCTCCTCCAAGTAGATCATGCTGAGCTATTTCCAATACCATTGACCATTGGCCGATCATTTCTTACATTTCCAGCCTTTCTGTGCCCACATTGGATCATACCTTCCTCACAGTGATTGTGTGAAGAAGATTCTACTATTGTGCCAGTTTTATCAATGAGGAAACCGAGGCACAGGGAGGCTAGAACTCTTTTCTGGGGCCACACAGCTGGTGAGTAGCAGAACAGGAGTTTGAACTGAGCTCTGTCTGACCCCCAAGTCCCACTCCTTAGTGACCAGGCTGTCCTGCTATTTTCCCCTGATATCTTCTGGACATTGGAATCTATCAGTCACATAACAATCTAGTAAGAGGGAAAAAATTCCGGGTTGGGGCCAGGCAATGTAGAGTCTTATTCAAGCCCTTTACTAGCTTGGTGACCTGGGAAAGAAATTTTCTACAGCCTCAGAGATTCTTATACCTGCCCAGCCTATCATAAGAAAATGGTGATGAGGCAGCACCGTGGACATGGAACTGCTTGGTTAAGTCCTCTGGACACCTACACTGTTACCTCTCACTTTCTCTAGATCCTCCTTGTTCAGATCTTCATTTCTGGCCTGTCATCATGGCATCGGACAAGCAACCCCCCCTCCCACACACACACTCCAGCCTGGAGTCCCTTCTCCTGTCACTCTCTTCTGCTACCCAGCAATCCCTGTGAAACACAATTTGGTTGTCTTCCCTTTTCTATTTGCAGATCTTAGGCAGCTCCATGTACATTGGTGTGGCTCCTAAGGAGGCCTTCACCTCCTCTGGCTTCCTTCCCCAGCTCCATTTCCCTCTGTTTCTTCTGCTTCTGTCTCTTGCCCACATCTGCTCTGCCAAATCCTTCAGACCCTGCTGGGATGCCATCTCCTCCACAAGTCTTTTCTGATTCTGTGCAGATGGATACGAAACCTTGAATTCCCAAAGCCCTACTTCAATGGCACTTAGTAATAGCAATAGCTGTTCACTGACCAATTACCATGGGCCTGTTACTATGCTACGTATGTCACATGCCCTACCATAACTGATCTTCCTAACAACCCTCTAAGATGGGTATAACTACTCCTACTTCAGAGAGCAGGAAACTGACCCTCAGTTAGTCACTTGCCCCAAAAGACACAACTAGTAAATGGAAGAATCATGACTCTCACCCAGTTCTAACTCTGTGGTTCTAATGCTTAACCCGTGTTACATAAACTTTTTTTCTACTTTGTGCACAGTTTTTAAAAAGATGGGTTTTTTTTTGAGTGACAGTCCTATCTCTCCTTTCAGACTGAAACTGTCATGAGAGCAAAAACTAGCTTTTATTCTCCTTTGAAACAGTGGGATCACAAAGGAGATCAAGGTGATTGAAGATAGTTGTTGAATGAATGAAAGAACAAATGAGTGAGTGAGGCACTATACATGTGTCAGTGGCTGCTGGGTTTCAGGCGGCACCTGATGGGGTGTCAGCTGCAGGTAACACTATAGGAGAGGACGGTCCCTAGGTTTCAGCACTTTTCTTTGGTCGCTGGCAGATTTGGATGCCTTTCTTGAAGACACAGTCTGAATGAGGCCATCAGCAGGGCCAATGCCATTTGTCTTTGCTAATCCCAATGAGGTTTTCTTCCTCAAATAGCTTGCCTCTGAGGATTGTG